GTTTATTATGCGGATCAGAAAAAGAGTATTCATACTGTTATTCCAGGTAAGTTTTTATTTATGAAATACAAAGAAAAACCTTTGACTTTCAAATTGCGCGTTGATGCGTAACCCTTTTCACAGCATACAAATCGAAGTGATCCTGAATGTGCACGTTCATTGGACAGGCTAGCTAAGTCAATCCGAGCCTGCAACATTTTCAATTTTGCCGTTTTGGGCGATATTTCGGGTTTCTGTTTTCAATTCCACGTTTAGTATTGCTACATGACACAAATAGATTTTTCATAATTATTACCGTGAAAGAACAATGATTAAAAAGCAAATCAATTTCTTTACAAATACAGACAACAATTTTACGACTTTTAAAATCACTCATAGCGCAGCGAGTAAAAATCATTTAAATATTTATTTGTGTTTATGTAAATCGTATAGTAAATAAAATGTTTTTCATGGTTAACATAATTATAGAAAGAGAACGGTAGGCATGTTGCTTTGCATTTGCAACGGATTCTAAAATCTGCTTTAAACTGTAGTCCTTTTTTTCGACTTGGAACTGGTGCCAGAATTGACAATTGAAGAAACATTTAAGATTTATGTCATTCATAATAAAAATATGAACATATTTAGGTAGAGTTTTGCCTTCCGTACTCCCGGTTGATGTAAACCTGACTTTTTAATCATGACGTAGACCAGATAACGCCAGAAAACGAAATAGCTTGCAACTGAAGCCCGCTCTAATACAAGCAACTTCCAAGGTTATGCAAAGTGTTTGATAAAACGGCTTATAAACTGACAAAGATCCAATATTCTGTGGAAAGCTTATATTTTTCCCCGTAGACTGGCGCATATCCCAAAGAAATTGGTACAGAAATAAAATATTTACGGCTATTTTCTTTTCCGAATCGAGCAACATTTGTCTTGGAAATGATGCCGAAAATGACGTCAATGTCACGTGGTATTGCCACACTGGTCATATAAAATTGTATTAAACTTGTTTAAATTGTTGTTTTGCAGAGGCTAAAACTTTGCAGAGGCTAGGGTTAAAACAATTTCTTAAACTCTTGTAATAAAATCTTACATGCACATTTATATTGCAACATACACCTATATATTATATGTATGTACTTATGATACCAAATGTTAACACCCACTTCTTAAAGATGTTATAAATTAAGTGGTGAGAGATTAAAAAGTTACTTTGAACGTTATTGTCTGTCTTATTTTAACCATTATCTATAAAGTTACTACATTTTTGCAAGCAATATTGTAACATGTATCTTCTTTTGGTTTTTGCAATACTGTAGTAAGTGTAGTTACTACTGTCTTGCATTCAGATATTACCATTTTAACGCAAGACTGTAGTAACTCAACATGGTCCAAATATCTCATGAAATAAAAAAAGATAAATATGTTTTTGTAAATAAATTTGCTTACTTCTACAATTTTTATACATATTCAAAGAATACTAAAGACATGATAGACTAACATAAACAATTGTGCCTCTCCTGAAAAAATTTCAAACATAGAGTTGCTACGTAACGCTTAACATTCGATAAAGATCTTAGATATTATAAAAGATTTCCTCTTGAAAACGGAAAAGTTTATATAACTTTTAAATAAAATGATTAGAAAGGTAAAAAAAAGTTACAAAACCGTATTTTATCCTTGGATTGACTGATGAACTGATAGTTGACTGATGAACTGATAGCTCCTATGTCAGTCAAGTGGCAACTATCTAATCAAGCATGTCATTCACGTCAACTCCGCGAAGTCACTCAGTTACAAGGAAGAGCCTCATCGATACACTAACGTCAATCACAAGTTGAAGCAGAATTAAATTGTAAAATATGAGAACAAAGATAACAAGGAAAGAGGACATTCCCTGAGTGCGCTTCACGTTTTTAATAGCTGGGACAGAAAATTGACTCATACAATAGGTCTATGATCAATGTGAAAAGTAAGTACTACATAACTGATATATTTATAACAGACTGTGGAGCTGACAGAAACCTGAAAAAATTTCTTGGTTTTCAGTCGGCATAAATTTTTAAAATCTTACGTTTCACACGACCTTGTTTGCATGACTACTCATGCGCAGTAAGTAAAGTTTGACTTTCTTTATTCCACGCCACATAGGTGTATTTCATTTTGCGTGAACTAAGGTATATTAGCCGATTAATGGTCACATCACATAATCAACTGACAGTTTACTCTACAAGAACAAAACTGCTACTGTTTGCCGGATAGGAAATGTAAGTTTATCAAAATGATACGAATTGTGTTGGGCTTTCTTTAGGGATTCTGTTTTTATCTATTTTAGAAACGAACATTATTAAAATTAATTATTCAGCAAAAACTAAGCCTAGGTATTCTATTTTTTATCACATTTGTTTACCACACGAACGGCTTACTGTTAATACAGTGTTTGTATGCTAGTTCTGGCTTCCAAAACTTATTATTATTATTAAGTCTTATGTAATTTTATTGTGATTAATGCTTCCGAGGGATCACTTTGTTTCCAGATTTTTATACTTCACAACAGCAGGTGTCAAGTGCTGTGTGGCAGCTGTAAAAAGTTGCCCCGTACTTCACTTCAGTGTTGTTATATTTTTCTGGTCCTTCGGGATCATTGATACCAGCACTATTGAGTGTTGAGAATTGAGTACCGCTCAAGCCGGTGCTAGGGGGCGTGAGGGATGTTGCACTTATTCATTATCCCTCATGTACAGACTCAATCAAACCGAGTCTGCAATTCTTATGTTATTTTGTTGTGATTAATGCTTCCGAGGGATCACTTTGTTTCCAGAATTTCCCTAAGAGGTTGTCTTCAGCGTTCACGTCATGTCATAGTATATAAACGGGTACGCTGAAGACCTTAAGCTATTTGTATGCCATCCAAGGCAGCATTCACCCAGACAAAACTTTTTGATTTACGAATAAGAACAGTAGTCAAATATTGTATAATTATATGTTATAGTACTAAATAGAAATTAGAGCGAGTGAGGCTATTTTCGGATACTTTAAGGTAAAATAGCGCAAAAATCTTAAGTATCCGAAATATACGATTTTATCTGCATATGTTCGATACAGAAACTTATGCCCGGCAATATGGCTGACATGCAATTGTTATATACGATGTTTTTATGTATAGAGACCGGGAACCATCCCGTGACATGACGTGTCTTTCGGACAATGGAGGCTATATCCGGATACGAAATATGATTCAACTACAAATTATATTACATTTTCGCTCTTTGTTTAATACAATCAAACAAGTTCATTACGTTTAAAGACTTTTGAATACTAGTATTGGTAAATATTTAAACATTAATTATGTTTTTAAATGTTTATAAATCAAACTCATTATTCTTTAACAGAAATAAAATGTCTCATCACTGTTCCTCCGGTATTATATTACCTTTCAAATATGATAAACAAGATCAACAAGGAAAGGCGGCGTTCAATGAACGCAACCCCCATATGACCCAGCAACAAAAACCAATGGCAAGGAGCCCAGGCGGACATTCAAGACATTCAACAAAACAAACACTCAAATGGATATTCCTGCACCTCTTCCTCGGTCATATCAGTGAAATCAATGTCTGTACATCCTCGATGAAAAAATTGCAAGCACCTTTGACAACCTATCCACCCTTCTTTCATATCAACACCATCGCATTTGTAACATTTATTGTCACTAAATTTACTATAATCATCATCATTGCTATCATCACACAGATCTTTCAGTGAATAGTCTGTGTCATCGCTGTCCGACTCAGACCGGTGTTTTTGTGTCTGAGATGCCAGTGCTTGCTTTAATCTCAGCTTACGGGCCTTTTCTTCTTCTTTCTCTTTTTTCTTAAGAAGTCTGCTCAGCCTTGAGTTGTCGTTCCTCTGCTTTTTTCTTTTTTCCAACAATTTCTCGATCTTTTTGCGTTCTCTTTCAAGTTTTCGCTCCTTTTTAGCCTCCTCTGCCTCTTCTCTTTTTCGTTTCGTTTCAATTAAAATATTTCTAAATTCTTCACCTGTAACAGCTTTTGGTTATATTTCTCTTTTAACTGACTTAGAACTTTTATATTTTATTTCAGGTATTTTCAATATTTTTGATAGAGGCGATTCCACTTTTTGTGCTGATGCCTGCACTTCGTTAATATCAGTTTTCGCGCTAGTTGTAGGCATTTCAGCATCAGCGATATCCTGTGAATGATCATTTGCATTTTCTGCAGTTAAGACAGTTTCGGCGTTTCTTTCCTCTTCAGGGTTTGTGGGCTGGGTTTCTAAATCATGTGGTTCTACCTCACATGTTACTGATGGTGACACTTGGCTTTTTGCTTTACACTGAGGTGCATTATGAGTAAGAAGTTCTTGCGGTATGTTGTTCATATGTATTTCAGGCTTACTAAATAATTTGCTTGCTTGAAATTTATCCGTTTTTAGCACAACATGCTTGTCAAGAGGAAAAAGGCCTGCATCTTTAAACCCGTTGACAGCATTCTCAATCTTTGCAGCTCCTTTCCAAGCATTTTTGAAGATGGCTGCAAAGTGAAACTTTGTTACATATTGACCTACATGGTTTATTTGCCACTCCCAAAGCGATAGCTTCCAGGATTCCTTGAGAGGCCCAAATAAACGTAGGTCACATGGTTGAATTAAGTGCGAAGCATGTTCTAGCAAATAGTACAGAACAATGCCGTTTTCTTTGCAAATATCTGAAGCTTCAAGTGTCAGATGAGTTGTGTGACCATCTACAAAAAGAACAACTGGTCTCTTCACTTGTCTGCTATCTATATCTGGTATGAATACAATTTTTAGCCAACTTACGAACAATTCACTGTCCATCCAACCATTAATTGATCTTCCCAAAACAGCTTCCTCAAACCCTTCAAGCATGTTTCTTGTAAAATATGATAAACAAGATCAACAAGGAAAAGCGGCGTTCAATGAACGTGGTATGAATACAATTTTTAGCCAACTTACGAACAATTCACTGTCCATCCAACCATTAATTGATCTTCCCAAAACAGCTTCCTCAAACCCTTCAAGCATGTTTCTTGTAAAATATGATAAACAAGATCAACAAGGAAAGGCGGCGTTCAATGAACGCAACCCCCATATGACCCAGCAACAAGAACCAATGGCAAGGAGCCCAGGCGGACCCCAAACAAAAACAGGACAGGGCAAAGACAGAGCACGGACAGGTTAATCATTAAATGATAAATAATTTGTAACTGATTAGGAATTCCAAGAAAATAATAATAGGCCCACAAAGGGGAAGGGGGACACCTGGAAAAACAATCATCGGGCGAAGAAAATGTCCACTTGCACTCATGCCACAAAGAACAGTTATTTGGGATTTATCAGACGCCGATAAGTTGTACACAGATTTTGCTCCTTTCAGTCCAATAACATGTGCAGTTTTAGAACAAAGCGAAAAGCCCGATTCATCAGCATTGTAAAGCCTGGAAGGATTCTTTAATATAAAACGATCATCAACAGTATCTTCAATAAATTTTTCAAAATCTGTAAAATATGATAAACAAGATCAACAAGGAAAGGCGGCGTTCAATGAACGCAACCCCCATAACCATTTTTCAATATGTTCAGGCTTAATCACCGCTCTTTCCTTACCAAGCTGACGAGGAGACCGGAGTGATAAAGCTGGATGACGCCTCATAAACCCATAATACCAATCTTTGCCAGGTCTACAATTATTGAATGGTGTACGTCTGCCATCAGATTGAGTAATTTTCTGTACGGTATCTAATAATTCATGTTTACTTCTACCATATCCGATTTTTGACATTTCAATCATCCAATTCGCTAATCTTGTTTCTTCCTCCTTGGATAGTACTGTATGCGGTCCAGAGGTACAGCCTATAGATGAATTACCTTTGACTTTATCAATTATTGTTGATCGCGGTAACTTTGGATGCTTTGGACTTTGACGTTACTGCTTTTACTGCATTTTCTAGAGCAACTTTGTCATAATTAAGCTGCTGCTCATCCTGGAAATATAGAAAATGATTATTATCAGTGATTATGTTAATGCACTATGGAAAAAAATTAACTTGCCAAAACGTATCCGAAAGAGCCGAATCAAAGAAAATATTGTCGGATCATTCGGATACTACGTCATCAACAACAATTTTGCCATTAGGTCATCTATTTACTGTTCAACGATCGTTTTTACTATATATTTCATTATTGAATCAATATTTCATCATTTTTAATACATTTTTAATATACATTTCAAAAATCAATATCACATCTTCCTCAGCATACCCGGCAAGAAATAGGTTTAAAACAACCTACCTGACAAATGTTAACTTTTTCTCTTTAAAAATAAGAAAGTATCCGAATAAACACGATATCCGAAGATGGCCTCACCCGCTCTAGTATTAACATCACAATTTACCACACTATTTAATTTTCACTGTCCTTCCTTAGTATATGATTTTATGACTGCATTTTGTCTTTGGAAAATGTATACTTTGATATTTAAAGTTCAAGGAGATAATCCATACTACTTTTGTATGCAATAATATCAGTTAGTCTCTTCAACTCCCTAGAAATTGCCCCCAGATTTTCATTTTGCTGCTTTTGTGTGTCGAGAATTTCTTCTAGAAATTTGCACTTTTTTCTTTCAATATCAAGAAGTTCTTGATATTTATCTGTAATTGAAATAACATATTGTAATAATTGTAAAAATGTGCTACATGAAAATATTATTTTTGATAGTTTAGGGTATAATTATATCATAGTTATCAATCTCAGCAAAGGCTTGCTTTGTAGCCATTTCTTGAACCTGTTAATTAAATTTTACATTTTATCCAGCTACTATCTATATTATCATCTGGAAGCCTTGCCGGATAAACTTATCTTAATTCCAGTCATTACAAAAACAAGACAAAACTACATGAGGGAAATGTAAGATTGAAACTTTTTACTAGTAAATTGTCTTAAAACATGATCAAAAGCAGGATAACTCAAATACATGTTCGGTGTCGGCCTAAAGCTCGCCAAGATACACTATCTCGCTCACCGGTTAAACCTTCTCTTAGTATCAAAACATCAACAATGTACGTATTCTTTATATATGGTAATTCATATAAGATTCTATGTACAATGTATTTCATATGGTTTGAAACCAGTTGCTTTGTATGTCAGAGATATTTCCAATTTTACTTTCTACTATTTCCAGTTCCTTGATTCTCTGATTGTGACATTGTACTTAGGATGCCATATGGAATTTCTTTTAAATTTAAGAAACATACATGGCACTTTTTGAAATTCCTTACGTCATTTCTTTAATAAACCGGACATATATTCACAATTATAATACAATTTGCAAGATTTATTTCAAAATACAGCATTATTTCCATGAAAGTTTCCATTATACTTGATGTGTTTTACCTGTTAATTAACAGCTAGAAATAATTTGTAATACATTTACCTAATGGTTCACTGACTGTCCTTTTCTTTTTTCCTGGAAGTAAATTTTGAATGTTGTGAAAATTCAGAATTGAATTTATTTAATTTCTTCAAATGAATTATACCATTTTTGCCTATTGTGAATGTGTTATTTTGTTATTCAATTTTTTCAATGAATTTAGTAAGAAAATCACACAAAAATAATTAAATAGTAATAATTTTATCACATACCAGTACATTATGTAAGTTTTATTTGTAAAAAAGACAGTTTATTTTGTAATTTCCATACCTACAAGCTTATTCTGTAATGTTTTCAAATATTTAGTGTCATTTGAAATGACAAGTCATATAATCTTACACTGAAAGTTATACACAGAAGTGTAGTATCAATTTTGCTGACTTGCAAAAACTGTGCTGGTATATGATAAGAAAATCATTAATTTAATATTTCTTCATAATAAGGTAAGTATTTCCTCAACATTTGATTAACCCTTTACCTGCTGAATCATTGTGATGGACGTCCAACCTCAAATTTCAGTACTTTCCATTCTCCATTTGTGGATATGAAAATTGAAAGACAGCCTGGCAAATGTATAGAGCCTGGCCAGATTTGACAGCTGTGTATTTGACTTGGCTATGTGTAGATGGCAACATTCAAGCAGGTGAAAGGTTAATGAAATAGTTTAATATTCATAGTCATATACATTTGTAATATGATATCAAGCAATTCAGTATTGAAATATGTGCAATAAAATTTGAAATGTCCTTGAAAAGTGTCAGAGTTTTATTGATTCATAATTAGCAATCTGTAAATACTTTATAATGTTACACTAAAAAGGTTCATTAAGTGTCTGCAATTGCTTATAACTATGTTTTGTGAAAAGAGACTTAAAAAAGTGAATGATGTGAAATTAGCAGTACAAATAATATTGTCTAGTTTTCATATAGGGGACACAGACATTTTACTCCACATGAATATTATGATGCATGTTCATAGAAAATAGTATGCTTAAACATATGGAAACATATAATTAGACTTACAAAGTAACTTGTATTAGCAAGTGTAGCAGATGGTGCTGATGCTGCCAAATTACCAGTACTTGAAGCATGCGCATCTCCATCATTTGTACAAGAAGCTTCTTGCACATTGCTGGTAGAAGAAGACACTAAAGACAAATAAATTTTATTTGTGAAAATAAACATAATTAAATGAATATTTTCCTTTTCTGTGAAAATTAGTTATATACTGAATGTCAAACAAAACTCATTTCTGTTTCAAAATTAATGGTGTCTGATGAGTTAACATTTTTATGCTATAGTTTTACCCATTAAATCTACAAATATATATGCAACTATTCCATACTACTAAGCAGTATTGGATTTTTCAGCTGCCTAGGAACAAACAAGGCTTGGGTAGCAAATCCCAAACTTAAAATCATAAAACTGAGAATCAATATAATAGCATGAATACATAAACAAACATTTGCAAAAAAATTTTAATTAAATAATTTAAAAGAACTTGAGCAAAGGAAAAAGTAATGAAAACTGTCAAAAAAAACAAAAAAGTAATCCAAACTGGGAATTGAACCGAGGCCTTCTGTCACAAAGTAACAGCTGTTCTACCACTAAACTATCTGGATGCAAACTTGTCTGTTGTAACAGTTATCAATTATATTTTTTCTGGATCAACATAAATTTATTGGAAAAACAATTGCCATAATTACTAAATTCCTATTTTTACAAATCATTATTATTAACTAATTCTGAAATGTTTATCATTACTTGTACTTCAAGAAACACATGTTTTTGGATTGAAATTTACTTACAGTTTTCCCTGAAGGTATCTACACCCAAAATACCAGCAACTGTAATCTCTCCAATCAACTGTAGAACCTAATAGTTCACTTAAGATTGAAGTAAATCATAGTTTAGTTTTTTTAAATCAATTTATCCCTTGAAACAAAATATAAAGAAAAAAGAATTAGGATTTTTCAGAAATAAATTTACATGATGTACAAAATAAATGTTTTTTTGACACAAGTTGAAAACACATAGAATATATAACATATTTTTTGCAAGTGAAATTGGGATAAAGACAGGATTGTTTCAAATGCATGCTACCTTTTCTTCCAAACTGTCTGGATTAGCTGGAGGTGGCCCTCCTCCAGTCTTAGTGGCAAACAGCCGACGGTCTCTCTCCATTTTTTATAGCCATTTTAAAGTCGGACCATTTTTTTTAATTTCATTTATGGTTCTGGTACAGGAACTCTGGCTGTTAACACTGAATTGACAGAAAAAAATAATTTAAGATAACAATAGACAATGTTGAATGCAGGCCTCATTTTTTTTCGTCCTGGAATTTTTGTAATGATGTTTAGTTCTTTTACATTTGTATATTTTTATGACCTTTAACCTTATCACTTATTTCCATAAATTTCAACTACACATTGTACCTAGAAAGTAACATTCTGTGGACTTTTACTACATATATAGGAAAAAAACTTGTCAACAACTCCCAGCATTAAATTACTATTTGTTTACATGTTTAGTTTCTTCCGTAGGATAAACCGAAATACCACATCCGTTCTGTGTATTCATACTATTGTGTTCGAGGTCCTTATTCAAAGACTGATGGAAAGGGCCGAGTAGTTGCGATTGTGGACATTTCCCACCCTCCCCCCTTTTATTGTGTTGTATAAAAATAGAATTAATTTTAAAGCAAAAACAAAGCAAGGCATCATATTTTGCTTGTATCTTTTATTTTTTTATCACTTTTCTTTTCTGTTATTTGATTTTTTTATTACAATTTGATTAAGAAATAGGTAGGGCTGTTTTTGATAGACAATTTTTTATCAATATATATCGATGGACAAATATCGACGGTAAATCGATGTATTGACTTTAACAGTAGATACAATGAAAAACATTTTAACATATGTTTTAAATTGGGATCATAGTGTTTCATTACAAATACTACAAACGTATAAAGTTTGTTTTTCTGGTTATTTTTATCACTGACATTTGAACAAAGTTGAAAGTTCAAGTAAGTTAAGAAAACTGGAAAAAAGTTACTTCTCTTATTAAGCAAAATAGGTATATTCACTAACGGAAGTAAATAAATTTTATCTTGTATCGATAATTGAAAATGTGCATATCAATATTATCTCAGATGATGAATATCAATGATATATCAACATTTTTATATTCAATATCAGAAAGCCCTAGAAATAGGTATCCAATTTGAGTACACTGTTGTTCCTTCTATGTTCAATAGGGAAAAATGTGGGGAATCGGCGTCAGCTCGGCCCTAAAATGTACTTGGCCCCCGAGTCAACTCGTCCCTATTCCAACTCAGCCCATAATTATATATTACATGTATTACTGGTAACGATTACTTTTTAAGTGTTTTCATCATCACTTTCATTGTTTAACATTTTCACAGTAATAGACCTCTACTCAAGGATATTTAAAAGTTTTATTGACGAAAGTACCAATTTGTATGGGAGTTGTAGAGAAAGGAAGAGTTTACAATTTATATGCATGTTTTGTCTACTTCAGATGTTTTTAGTAAAACAAATATCATTAAAACAGCATAAGTCATATAAAAGAACATACACTCAAAACGTGTCAAATACAATAATATTTGTTGTCATAAAAATTCAATCCAAACACTTTATTTATGGATTAATATTTAACATACATGTATATTGTATCGTCTTAACAACAATACTTACATGTGCACTGCCACCCTTTTCAATTTCTGTTTGTAATTGATCGTTATTTTGAATACTTTTATAATAATTTACTCTTTAAATGTTATATTAACTAAACAATCTAAACAATCTTTATCCTGATATAAGTTTTTAAATGAGGAGGCCACATGGCCGAGTTGACCCGTGCCGAGTTGGTATAGGGCCGAGTTGACCCTTTACCAAATGTGGGTTGTGTTAGAATGTGTGATAGCCTATCGTTCAACTGTTTGAAATTGTGTAGAAATTTAGTTTATCAGTAGTTATGGACATATATATGTAACGTTTTATAGATTATTAGTAAGTCATCCCCGATACCAGAGTCTTTCTATTTGAAGGACGCTGCCTGTACAAAGCACATAATTAAAAAAATATAGATGTTTGACACTCATACGATTTTATTTTTTATTTTTAATTATTTCATCCTAGATTTTTTTGTTTCCGTATTCTTTAATTAAAAATGGCCAAATATAGTTCAATATGCCAGACGTTATGTTATATTTTATGTCGATCAAGCCTGCTGCTTTGCCAAGAAGCACAAATATCAAGCGACCTCATATTTAAAACAAGGGTGCCATAGTCACAAAATACGCCCGTTTACGAAAGCTTTAGATGGAGATTGGGGCATTATGGATAAGTGTTATCTAGCAAGCAAGTTTTAATTCTTGGCACTGTGTTGTTAAATGAACCTTAAAACAAATCAGTAGGGAAGATATGCACAGGATGTGTGACCTTGACCTTGGTCGCAGGGACCTGAATTTTATGCACGGCACTCAGCCTCACAATGATGAACATTTGTGCCAAATTATATTGAAATCCCTCTATGCATGTAGAAGTTTTGCTCCAGACAAGTTTTTCTATGAGCTCTAACTGTGACCTTCACCTTTGACCTAGAGACTTGGTTCATGTGCAGGGCACTACGTCTCATGGTGGTAAACAATTCTATAAAGTAACATTAAAATTCATCCATGCATGTAGAAAATATGCTCCGGACAACATCTGGATATTTAATCATCTCCAGTGACCTTGACCTTGCAAATATTAACCTAAATTAAATGTGTCACACCTGTAGTCATGATAGTTACCATTTGTGCTACAATCCATCAATAAATGATGACTAAATGGTCCCTATACACATCTTCAAATTTTTATCTGAATTTTGACCTCTATGTGTAACCTTGACTTTGGTCGCAGGGATCTGAATTTTGCGTGCGACACTCAGCCTCACAATGGTGAACTTTTGTGCCAACTTATATTAAAATCCCTCTATGCATGTAGAACTTTTGTTCCGGACAAGCGTTTTTCAATGAGCTCTAAGTGTGACCTTGACCTGGAGACCTGGATCATGCATGGAGCAATACATACCATGGTGGTGAACATTTCCATAAAGTATTATAAAAATTCTTCCATACATGTAGGAGATATGCTCCAGACAAAATCTGGATATTTCACCATCTTTAGTGACCTTGACCTTGCATATATTGACCTAAAGTACATGTGTCACAGCCGTAGTCATGATAATGACCATTTGTGTTACAATCCCTCAATAAATGATGATTAAATCGTCCCTATACACATCTTCATATTTTTATCTAAACTTTGACCTCTATGTGTGACTTTGACCTTGGCTGCAGGGACCTGAATTTTGTGCGCGACACTCCGCCTCACAATGATGAACATTTGTGCCAAGTAATATTGAAATCCCTCTATACATGTGGAAGTTTTGCTCCGGACAAGCATTTTTCAATGAGCTCTAAGTGTGACTTTGACCTAGAGACCTGGTTCATGTGCGCGACACTGCTCCTCATAGTGGTGAACATTTCTATGAAGTTTCATTAAAATCCCTCGATACATGTAGGAGATATGCTCCGGACAAAATTGGACGCCGCCCGCCCGCCCGACCGCCCGCCCGCCAGGGGCGTTCCCATAATACGTCCCGTTTTTCAAACGGGCGTATAAAAATATAGGACGAGGCCAAATATAGATCTAGCCTCTGCTTACTTTACTTTCGACGAACCTACATGACATAATTTACCTCTCCAAAATATCCTGCCAACAAGTTTCCTTCACTTGGGCAGTCACTTTGAGAGAAAATTTGCTCTCTATTTCTGTGTGGTTCTCAATGTAACCCGTCATTAACGTCTCCACCTCCCCCTTTGACCAGTTCTCCTTCCGTTTTTTCTCCGCGTTTTTCTTCATTTTGATGTTTTGACAGAAGACTATCAACATCCTGGAAAGCTTTTTTTACCTCCTGTTGAAAAGTCGGTTACCGTACATTTTCAGTGTCGTAAAAGTACGCTACGTTCTGTTTAGTGAAACGCAACTAACGTAATTTTACGTTTTGCGTAAGTCCAAATTTACGTCAATAGATACGCAAAACTTACGTTATGTTAGTGAAACGCTCGCCTGATGTCTTCCTCCATGAAGAAGGTTGGAAAGCCGCCAATACTAAGCTATACTGTATTGGTGCGACGAAACCCAAAATCATTTTTTTTTGTTGTGCGTGTAACAAGCTAGACATTTTCTTACATATCTTAACAGCTAAGAAGCATAAAGAAGAATATCATGCATTTATGTACAGAATTTAAGGAGTCTGAAAAATTGACTTTGATGCAATTTTCATTTATTTTCCGAATAACTTCCAACACAGTCACTAATTTTTTTTACTTAATTTGTCACTGTGCAAGAGTAATGAAATTATCAAATTTCTAGTGATTAAATTAGTTACAGACATGTAACGATACATAACAGTCTTTACACTCAAACAAAAAGACAAGAAAACAAACGTAACCTAATGGAAAACAATATACTTTGAAGTATAAAATGTTACAAATCGCTTAACTTAAATATGAAGTCAAGATCTTATTGTGACTTGACTCCAACTGACTTTAGACAAATGGTTGTCATTAATTGCTTATGATAGACACAAATAAAAGCAAATATTGCAAATAATTAAATGTAACGAAACTTACAATTTGTTATAAACATCTAATAGATAAAGGCTGATATTGTGCTGCACGCACAAATGGGTCAATTGTTACGAGGTCAGGTCCACTAGGGTAGTAAAATGTCGTCGGGCGCAAATCTTTCCTATGCATATATTACTTTAAGTATAGCTATATACTATCGTTAACCACCATCTGAAGTACAGCATCTTATGCAAGAACCTGGGACAAAGGTCAAAATTACAACTAGCTGGTCAAATAAAACATGTATTGCTAGAGCAAAACTATTTTATGAACTAAAGATGTGGGTTTCTTGAAATTGTGGGATTGACATGTAAACGTTTGCTATTGTAAGACGTGTGGCGCAGGTTAATAGCACCTTGCAAGGTCTGTTTTTCCTACTCACACCCCGGACACCTCCACAACAACCCCCAACATTTAAATACATACAATTATTGGAAACATAGTAAAAACCATAAAACAATTACATACAAATATAAAAAATGAG